ACTGGATTCTTATTATTAAAGTTTAGAACATTTTTATAATCTTTTGGGTTATTTGCTAGTTCATATCATAATAGCTTAGCTTTACTGTAATGCATCTAGTATGGCGCGGTGATATAAGCATGATGATGGCTGAGGTCGATGAGATCGTTTTAGACCTTAAAGTAAACTGAAGATCATGTTGCACTTGCTGCCTCGCCCCATCTTCATAATGAGTTGGTCTTGCATAACGAGAATAAGGAAATATTGGTTTATTCCCCATTATTCATTTAGGCGGCACATTTTTGTGGCTGTGTTTTTATATCATTTATAGAGCCCACATTTTATACAGCGTCATGACGCCAATAATTTTGATTTCGCAAATCGGCTTGACAATGTCGAGGCGGCGTAGTTCCTAATATCAATTTAAGAATTTAGTTTTATCATTGATTGGTCAAATCTATTTAATTTGGACCCAAACATATTCCTGTTGGTTTTCAGCTATAAGGTCCTGTGCGTGAGATTTTCCTTTTTAATTATTTGGAATAAAGTTTAATTTTATTCCTAATTTTAATTATTTATCTCCAATGTACATGGGCAAGGTTGTTTGTGGATCGATCAGAGTTAAAGGTCGTCTCATAAATTCAAGTCTTCGCAAGGTTAATTGACAAACTTATAATTTCTTTGATGATTTTTCCCAAGCTTTACGGATTGACCTCGGTCAGGTCACAGCCTATTTACCTTCTATTAACTAGCTAACCTTCTTTGCGTAAGTTTCTGTTTTTTACTCAGGTTGCCGTAAAAACTCGTACCTACATCAGAGACAGCTTAATTCTGCCACCTCATTAACCTTCTGAGTAAAATTCAATTGGAGTTTTCAGAAATGTTGATTATCCAACACCAACTCAACGAATTCTTCTGCTTCCTACATTTCAGTTTCATCGGTTTGGAGTACGAATGTACTCTGGAAATTTCCTATCTAATCCTTTTAGGTCGAAAAGTGACGCAATATACTGTTCGTTTAAGAGTCTTTCCTCGATACCATGGAATATCGGAGGCGTGACTTATGTATATATGCTTTTGATGTGAGTGCAACGCAATGATTTATTTCACCCCAAATCCTGATAATTGTTTGAATAAATTAAAGAACCATCGCATTCCTCCTTCGGATTGACCCTGAATTCATTGATTGATTAATCGATGTCTACATGAACGGCAAGGTTTAACACGAAGACATTGATTTGAATACTAGCCAAAATTTTACTGATGCTGCAAACCTCTCCTTTAAGTAATCAGAACAAGACACGTGCCGCCTCATATTTGAGTCTTTCATATGCAGACAAGCCTTGAGGTCTCCTTTCACTGAGGTTATTTATAGGCCTATGAGTAATGTATAATATTAATGATTTTATGAATAATGATGTTATGATATCGCCACAGTAGGCTGTGAGATATTAGAGAACGATGCTTATGGAAACTTGTATCAATCTTAATTCAGTACTACTATAAATAATGCGGATAACTCAACTGATTAAGGTATAAAATATGGTGTTACTTAAGAAATATTACTACAAATTGTGAGCCGCGATGGCATAATAAATCATTTCCAGCGATTCTGTTCATATGAGTTGCTAGTTGAACGTTAAGAAGCCGTTTGTCTGCTCGATTTCGTCACACGTTCTCCGAAAAAGTACGACGGTTCCTTCAATTCGCACCAGCTGCTACGCTTTCATCACTGAGCAGGCGCTCTAACCGATGGATTCTCCACTATATAGAACACCAGAATCGACCAAGCTAAGCTGCCGATCCAAATAATTTTTTACAACGAATTTGATTGGCTTCCATTATGTTTAAATATCGCAATTCTTGTAACCAGTTAATCCAATTCATAATTGTTTCCAAATTGGCATGTTTTTATTCATTCTTACACGAGGTTGTGTTATTCCCAGTTAGAAACGCTTGCAGCATATACTTGTTATACAAAGGATGCAACGTTCTGTCGACAATTTTGTAATTGAGAGTTTTATTCAAAAATTATTTTTGTTTCTTCTTACACGGAACATTCAAGACAGTTTATGACGTCAACGTTTTTGTCAATTCTATCTGGATAATTATTAATGTATCATCTATATTTGTGAACTGCAATTCCAAATTTATGAAATTCGCGGAAAATTCTGCCATCGTCTTGTAATCGCGACACTAGAGTAATCTATTCTTGTAGGCCTTAGGGCTTCTTTCTTGATGTGCCCCTATAATCCACGTTAAGGCTTAGAATAAGCAGCCTTATGAACTTAGTTTACACGAACGTTCTTCAATGATTGTTATAAAAAATTACGTTCAATTTCACCTTCTGACTGATTAAAGCCTCTGAAGGGAAAAAAATCATAAAAGAACCTTTAGTCTGGAAGAAGTTGAAGTCTGGTAAAGAGTTCAAGGTTGATTTCGTAGTTTTTTCATACGAGTTTCGGCGCGTGTTCGTTATAGCTCGCATGGCGGTGACTGCGTACATGCGTCACCGAAATGAAGGTGTTCTCTCATGAACGTCTCAGCACATCGCATGTCAATTAAGACATAGCACAATAAAACTAATGCGTTAGTGACCTAAATCACTCTCATATTAATGACCTAAAAGACTGTCTAAACGTCAGGTGGAAAAGTAAATTGACTGCGTTCTTTTGCACTTTAACTATATTGTGTTTCCTGATTTTTACTCATTTTAAGTGTATTTTTATGCGACTGTAACTTTGTGACACCTCTTTTTAACGTCGATTCTATCTTATTTTCAGTACGAGATTTCGAGGTGCGAGGTCATTTCCCATTTCGGATTGACTTATGCAGGCCTATCAACCATCTATTTCAAAAGAAAAAAACTGATGGCATAAACTTAACCCCTCAGCTTATGACAATGCAATGTTTAGGTATTTTGTATTTAATGCTACTCGGTTATTTTTTTTTTTTGTAAAAAAACACCTTTCTCATTCAGTGCCCGTATAGCCACGTAGTTTCATCAAAATCTATTCATTAGTTTGGGCGAGTATTAAAGGGAAGAGCCAGCTGATGTAAAATTGAGGCGTTCTGATTTCAGGGCGAGAGCTAGGCAGTGGCCTTCCATCAATGGCTTATCCTTGGGTACCAGCACTGCTCGCCATATAATTACTAATCTATTTCCTCGTGTGATATTTGTGAAATAGCGTTGGATTGGGACGACCGTGGAGTTGAGTGCAAGACCTGCGGGAGGTGACCTTATGTCTTTATGACGAGTTTAGGACTTTTTAGTCCGCGGTCACACTGATGCGCCGGGTTCGTCGTCCTCCGTCTACAAGTCGTCGATAGGCAGGCCGCCCGTCATCGGGTCCCGGATGTGGAGTTGATCGCGTTACGTGTATCTCCCTCCTTTGCGCCAGCTGATGCAAGATACTGTTGCTTGTCATTTGCTGAGGGTAGTTTTCCATTAACGGGCAATCCGGGATCTTTCTCAAAAACTTGTCCAGTCGCAAGAATGAACTCCCTCCCTCCTAACAGCACCTTTGACAAGGCATTAAATAGCCTTGCTCCTGCCACAGACAGTGATCCCTCACGAAGAGTCTGTACTCCTGACTGCGGCTCTGTTATTCAACGAGGAAATCCTACACAGTCTTCCTTTCCTTTTGTTGTAATATATCCCTTTGTAGGTCTCACTTTCAAAGTTGGGAGCCAGTCCCGTTATCATTTTCCAAGTGTACAATATGATACCCTTCTCACTTCTCTCCAGTGAATACAGGTCCTAGGTGTTTCAACCTTCCACAGTAGTCCAGCTTTAGATCCCTCTTACCGTATCAGCTCCCTCATACCGGTGATTTCACGCATCCTATTAGAATAGAATAGAAGTGTCGGCATTGAAGAAATAGGCCCATGGCCTGTTGCCGATTCTTGAACTTTTCGTGACTTGATTCACAGTGAACCCGGCCATTGGAACCCGATCATTCCATAACTGACGATTGATTAAGATAGCTGCTGGACTTATTGCCTGGTCCGTAATTTGCTAGGCATTTTAAGACTGAACTGTCTGAACATATGCTCCGGAGTTCTGTTCTAACCGTTGAGGCAAGAGGTTCTTTGTGCTAAGCTCCCGTGACAGTAGCCGGCTTCGACCGGCTGCTACGTCATCTTTCTGGAACTATCTTTCTCGAACTTTGAAAATGCCGTGCTGTCCCGCTCCGAGGCGTTGAGCCGGCGAATGGTATCTATCTGCCCTGGAGTGGGACTATCTGCCCTGGAGTGGGGTTTTCTGCCCTGGAGTGGTGCTCTCCGCCCCGGTGTGATCTCCACTTTGGTGGCCCCGTTCTGTAGCCCTTCAGCCATTGAGAAATCTTGAGGTTTTTTCCGAGACACCCTTTTTTGTGCCTAAAAACAGAATTCAGTCAAATTCCTTGAACTGTTCTGACATGGGGCCGCATTGAACCAGTTTTCAGAGGCTCCCGTAAATTCCAATTAAAGAAAAAAAAGAACATATGCTCCTGCATAGCTTCGTCTAATCTGTTTTTGAAGATGTTCATACTCGAAGCGTCAACGATGCTATCAGGGAGGCTGTTCCACATGCCGGTGACTCGAAGCGAGAAGAAATGTTGTCGCATGGATGTGTTCCAACGCTGTTTTATTAGTTTATAGCCGTGGCCCCTGGTGTTGGTTCTTGTTTCAAATTCTAGTAATCCTTCTGGAACCTTGTATAAGCCATGAGTATA